CACTCCCATCTTTTGAAACAGATGCCCAAATCCATCCACAGCATAGCCCTGGGCTGCAGATAATTTCCTGTCTATCCTCAGACCAGGTGAGCTTTGGTGGCTCGAGGCCCCAGAACGGTTTGGACAGTGAAAACAAGAATTGTAGTCTTGGTCAAAGGCAGGGACCTCTAACAGGAATAAAGTAACACCTGTTGGCCCTGCTTGGTATCTTGACTTCTTTGTGTCAATGTGACCACATGCTGCAAAGCAAGGCCTGGCCCAGAGACGTGATCCCCAAGCTGTGAGAGCCTCAGTGTGCTGTTGGACACAGGCTAGAGAGGTTGCTACAGAAAGATGGCCCCGTGTGCGTGTGTGGGGAGGGGGGGCGGTGGGAGTAGGTAACGATCAACATCCGGGGCCCTGAAGGACAGCCGAATGGACGCCGAATGGACGGCATTTTACCAGCTCCAGCCATTTACATGGGGGTGCCACCTTTTCACCCCTCCATCAGGTTGATTGCTTTTTCTTCCCCAAGCTCCATTGTTCTTCCAGAATGAAGAAGAAAAAACATTTCTGTCGCCCCACTATCTACTTTTGTGCACACAGTAGGTTGTAGATAATGTTCATTCTCTTCCTTTTTTCTTTGCCATTTCCATTGAGATAAGGCTGCCGGCATGGGTAGGGTAAGAATTACCCCCCACCCTAAGACCAAATGAGACCGGAGGACAATGGAGGTGATCCTATTTTGGATAGTCATCAGCTTTTTTCTTCTTTTCTTTTCTTTTTTTTTTTTTTCAGAAGTTTCCCAGAGTGACAGGGTCATTCCCTCTCTTGGCCCCCTGGAGAGGCCAGTGGCCCCCAAGTCAGACGTTTCTATTTTCAGCTCCCCAAGTCCAGAGAGCAGTCACCTCCGCCTCAGGGAGGGCCACGCAGCCAACCCACCAGCAGTTCGGGCCTGCAGCCTCTGTGCATTTACATTTCCATAAATTTACATCAAATTTGTGCTGAATCATATCCCTCCCCACACAGAAAAAAATGAAATACATTATCAATAAGTACCACCAATTTGAATAATCTGAGAGTGGAGTGACTTTTGCGGACTTTCTTCCAGTTAACTCCTTCCTCAGACCAAGTCTCTTCTCCAATCCCCCCACCAGCCTGGGATTGGGTGTCTTGGCACCCTCATGGGTGCCCAAGGTCAGAGGCTCCTCTCCTGAAGTGTTTCTCTTCTGGCCTCTCCCTAGGTGCCCCACGCCCTGCCTCTCCTGCGGTCCCCCTGGCTTCCCAATCCACTGGCCTTCTCTTCCCCTCTTCCCCCTGACATCTCAATCCTCCTTCCTGGAGCCCTTGCACCTGCCTCAGTTGCTGCCCAAAGCCTTGGCTCCTCTCCACCTCCCCAAATGCCCAAGCCAATCACACTCAAGCCCAAGCCCCAGCCCCTGGGATGACAATTGCGGAGCCCTGGCCTGCCAGGCAGTCATCAATCCCACTCATCATTTTGAGCACCTTGGAGGCACTTCCTTCCACCCCCTGAAGCTGGGCTGATTGGCAGCCAGCAGGGCTGGAGGAGGGTGGGGCACTCTGCTGATTGTTTGCTGCTGGGCAGGGAGGGCTTAGTGCCGAGAGGACCCCAGGACCCCCAGGACCCCGCAGCCCAAGGGTCTAAGACAGACAGTGGATGCTTGGAATCAGGAACCAGGCCAGAACCTGCCCTCTGCCCCTCTGATGTTCAGCTGCTGGACTTGGGTAGGGGAATGATGGATGAGCCCCCCTTCCCGCCACCTGCCCCAAATGTCCCTAGGTAGAAAAAGGCAGGGAGGTTTATCTTCTACAGAATCGAAGCCAGTGGCCCAGGGGACCTAGGGTTTCAGGACTCTGCAGGAGGCCCTGCTGCAGCCCATATCAGGACCTGCAATTCCCTGGTGCTGGCTTAAATCAAGAGCAAAGAAAGTCGTGTATCAGCCAGCCATGGAGGCTCCTAGCAGGACCTGCCAAAGTGAATTCTCTGCAAAAAGCAAGAATTGGGGACCTTGATTCATATGGAGCTACTTAAGTGTGTGCCTCCATGCTTGGTGCATGTGGACCTCCCCCCCCAACCCTTTATAAACTGCAATCATGAGTCATTTTCTTCCCAGATTGGATTTCTTAATACAGGCTGGAGAAAAGTAACATGAATATTGCCCCCTCCAAAATCCAGTTCAGGAAAACAAACAAACAAACCTGAGCCAGAATCTCTACTGGAGATTTGCTTAGCTTCCTTTAATGAGAGTACTGACATTTTGTGCTTGGGCTGCCAGAATCTGAACTGAAAATACTATCTGGAGAAGTTATATCAAAAGCTTCCGGGCTCTCCCCTGTGTCTGGGGCTGTTGGGACAGGGCCAGAGTGCTGCTGCAGATTAATAGAGAACCGGCAAGGAGAGGCGGAAATTTCTAACAAGTTCACATCCCCCCGCCCCACCTCCCCAGAGATGTTTTTGTTTCCTTAGTATGTACAGGTTCAACTGCTCAGATTAAGCTATTTTGGAGTTCGCACATTTAAATCCCTCTCAAACTTTTAAAAGTAAGAAGCATCATTCAGAAGCATCTAAGTACTTTCTTCTAACACTATAGGTACATATAAATAAATCAATAAAACTGGCCCTGGGGCTATGAATATATATGGAAAAATTGGGTCCTGGGAGATTCTTTCTCAGAAAGCTAAGGGGAGGGGAAAATAGAGAATAAAGCCAACATTTCAATACTTTGTTCTAGGGTGACAAAATTAAAACAAAGCCATCCGTTTTTACATCAGTCCCATGCACAAGGGTGTGTGTGTGTGTGTGTGTGTGTGTGTGTGTGTGTGTGTTGGGGACATTTAACATACCATTTTTATCCGAAGTAAAGATAGTTGGCAAGTGGTTTTATTTTTCCTTTGAAAATGGGTGACCACAATATAATTAGCTTTGTTTTTGTCGGCCGGGGCTGCTGCTGCTGAAGTATCTAGAGGCCTTCTGGTATAGGTGCCTAAAAGCTTACACTGGATTTAATTATTATTATTACTCAATGTCAGGCTACATAAATGAAAAGAGATAAAAAAGAATCGCTTGCAGCTACACTGCCTTGGTCTGTGATTTCATCACATCTCACAAGCTAAGCAGGTTGGAGCTGGCAGTTGAGGCATGAAATCTCCCAGGAACTCCCAGGCAACCAGAGATGCTCTTTCAACTGAGTGGAAAGTTTCTCCTAATGCGGGGCGGGAATGGAGGGGGTCTGCCACTCTGATTTTCCTCCCCAATTTTATTTTCAAATACTTTAATAAGTATCTGGCTTATTGTAGGGAAAGAAGCAAGTGGGGGAAATAGAGTCCCAGAGAGAGCTGTCTTAAAGGTACATGGTCTCTAATGTGAAGTCTTTGGTTCCCCAGGGCTTATTGATCACCTGTCCCTTTTCTTGAAACACCAGTGATGGCTGCAAGCAGCAGCAGTGCTGAATGGCTCCGTGGAAGGGGGTATCCATAGGGGCTTTCCCACCCAAAAACCAGGCAAGGAGGAGGCAGAAGGCAGATGAAATAAGTTCTACTCAGTTTCCTTGCAGTCTATTTAATTGACAGGTCTGAATGAAACCAGATGGTTCACCAAGGGGCAATATATGGCAGACAGTACCTTGCTTTTTAGGCATGAGACAGGCTATTAGGAACAGTGCTGGGCACTGCATTAATTAACCCTAGACATTCCACTCAGGGATGACCTTCTTTAATTTCCTTGGATTAAAAAGAGAACAAGGTAGGTGATCCAGAAGTCCAGAAGATTAGCTGCATTCTAGCCCCTTCTTTTCTTGTTCTCTAGAGCATGAATTGTAAACCCTTCAAGGCAGGGAACAAGGCTGTATTGGATGGTCTTTCTGTTCCTCTCAGTTGGGTTCATCCATGCACTTGTGCTCAGCTGGAGGTCACTGCCTCACCCTTCCTGCTGAAGTATCTGCAGGTCAGTTGGCTATTGGTTGGAAGTCCTGTCATTCAGCAAGCTATTCTGGGCATGTTTCCATGGTTCTGAACACAGGTTCCCAAGAGCAGCAAGTAAGAATAAGCCCTGCCCCACAGGTATCTTACAACCTTTTTTTTTTTTTAGCACATTTGCAAATATTGCTTTGGCCAAGGCAGGTCACATGACTGAGTCCAGAGCCAAAGTTAAAAAGACAATGGCAGGGACAAGGCAGGGGAATTATTGGTGCCATTTTGCAAATACTCTTTTATGCCAACCAAACAAGGCCAAGAACAGAGTTCAGTATTTTCAATTCCAATTGTGATACTTTGTTTTCAGGTTTCCCAGAGGAAGGGAAGCCCTAGCTGAGCCTCTGCTTCCCCACTTCTCAGGCCTTTGTTTTCTGATAAATGGGGATAATGTCCATTTCACAGTGTTCACAGGATCCACAGCAGACAGAAAAATTAGAAGTAAATGTTGGCTGTGATGCTTCCACAACTGTGAAATGGGCTCACAGCTTCTCAGCTTACCTGCTGGTCTACACCAGTGGTGTTTCAGGGAGGGTGATCTGTGAGGGGCTCAGGTGGCAGGGCATGGGACTGGGATTAACATCCACTCATTGTGAGGTTTGCCTTTCCTCTGAAATTCTTTCCATCTTCTCTCTTAGGAGAAAAATCTCAGTTTGACGCCAGTGCCTTTAACACCTCTCTTGACTCATGCCAAGAACCACACTCAAACCTTTTGGCCCTATTTAGAACTTAATGTTTTATTTCCAACTTTTAATTTGCTTTCTATTTATGACAGCTGATAGTTTTCTTAAAAAAAAAAAAAAAGAAAAGGAAAAAGAAAAGAAACTATCATCAAAACCGGGGATGTAGCTCCGTGGTGAAGTACTTGCCTAGCATGGGGGAGGTTTTGGTTTCTATCCAGGTACTGCAAAAAAAAAAAAAAAAGCAAAAAGCAAAAAGCAAATGTTAGTAGCTTTAAAACTGTGTGTTAGTATATGATGCCACGTGGCTCATTCATTCATGCGTTTAACAGACGCTTGTGGAGCACCTACTGTGTGTCAGGATGGTCCCAAACCTTCCCCGGAAAGCCCCCGCCGGGTGGAGCTGACATTCTGGCGGTGCGGTCGTGACGGTGGTCAGGGATGGCGGGATCTGGGGACTGGCTCCTCAGGGGGGACGCAGACCTGCCGGCCGAGCCCCCTCCGGGCGCGGGCCGGGGTCGGGCTGCGGCGGCGGCCGGCCGGGCGCGGCGCCTCCTCCCCTTCCTCCCGCGGAGGCTGACGTGGAGGCAACAGCGCGGGCGGCCGCAGGAGGCGGCGGCGCGGCGGCTCGGAGGCGCCGGGGCCTCTCGGGGCCGCGCGGGGCCCGGGCGGCAGCGGCGGCGGCTGCGCGTCGGGAGGAGGAGGAGGAAGGCGTCCATGAAGCCGGCCCGCGCATGGAGGAGGCCATGAGCGGCGACCGCACCGAGAGCGACTGGCAGGGGCTGGTGAGCGAGGTGAGGCCGCGGCGCCGGCCGGGCGGGGTGGGCCGCCCGAGCAGCCTCCGGCCGAGGCCCGCGCCCCGCGAGGCCGAGCCGGGCCAGGACGCGCGGGGCGAGCGCACACGGTGGCCCCGGCGCGCGGCCCCGCGCGACCTGCCAGGTGCGCAGTTCCTCCAGTACTTTGGGGTCTACGCGGACGCCACTGCCTTCCGCGCCATCGGGTGCCAGCCTTTGGGGAGGGGCCTCCCCCCAGGCAGGGTTTGGCCGTGGATTGGAGAGAGCAGCCCTGGGATGCGGGAGAAGGAGCCAAGCCCCACCTGCCTGCCTGGTCACCACTGTTTTGGAGGCAAGCGATTGGACGCCTGGTGCAAGGGTGGTCCCAGGGGGAGATCTGGGTCCTGGGGTAACAACTGGGCCAGGTGGGATTCCTTACAGCCGTGGTTTGGGTAAGGGAGTTCCAGGTCCTAGCTGCTGTTCATTCATCACGTTTTCGATTCAACCAACACATGTTTCTGTGGCCTACTATGTGCAAGCTGGTGGAGCCATTTACCAAAAAAGTGAGACCCGTGCAGAAGTGATTGGTTTGTGCATACAGAACATCAGGCCTCCTAAACGATTTTGTCATAAACATACCTCTGGGACCTGCTTTCAGGTCCTGCTGTTTCCTCTTCAGTCTACCCTGAGAACTTACTGGCTTCTCCAGTTAAGAGGGGTGCTGATGTCTCCCTCTCCTGGGCTGCCAGGTTTCACCCTTTGTGCTGGCAGTTCCCGGTGTACCTAGCCACCTAATGTCCAGTGAGTGCAGAGCAATTCTTTCCTGAAGAGGAATGAGATATCATAGCTTCTGCCCTGGTTTAGTTTGTTTAGTATCAGTCTAAAAGCCAGAGCTCTCCTAATCCATGGTATTATGCAGTATTGCAACCCATCTCTAGCTCCTTCAACTGACAAGGGACAGATCCTCTGGGGAGCTTATCTCTGGGCCCACTTACAACCTAGTTAGGGAGGCTCTACGTGCTTCTCCATAGAAGTCTAGCTGTTAGGCACCAGTATGCAGCAGAATATTCACTACTCCAACAAATGCCTATCAAATAAATGCTTATTAGGAGTCGGGTACATTGCAAGATACTTAGAAGTCAGTGGACAGCAAGACAGATAACCCTCCTGCCCTTGAAGAACTCCTGAGGCTCAGTGATGTAGTGAGGGAGGAATGTCACACCACAAACAATAATAACATACTAAAGCATGGGATGCAGTCAAGTGCTAAATTGCACTGACCGTGTTGTCCCATGTGCGCAGTGCCCTCACTGGGCCCTGTGTTTTAGTTGGCTTCTTATTTCTAGTGCCTTCACACCCAACTCCCTACACAGAAGGTGATCAATAAATGCTTGTCGAATAAGCCAGTGGATCCTAAATGGGTCTCTCGGTCTCCCAGCTGAGTTTCTCTAGAGGAACACCATCTTGCCTTCCACAGACAGTCATTAAAGACCTCGAATATGGTGAGCACCCAACCAGGTGCCATGGGATAGGCGAAAATGAATCCAACCTGCTTCCCGCCTTAGTCGTAACCGATGGCTATTTCTTGAAGGCATCCTTCATGTTAAGCACTGTAGAGGAAGGAGCTCAGCATTCCCTAGTGGTCTGAGCTTCCGTCTCACAATGAGGCAGGTGTGAGTTATCTGTTACCCAGGTTAAGAGAACCTTAGCTCAGGCAGGTTGGGACTTGCTTAAAGTCTCACAGCTGGTAAGTGGAGGAGGCAGGATTGGAACCCAGAACCTGCTTGGGATCGCTGGGCCCTGCTTTGTATTTTAGTCATTGGTACATCTGTCTATATCTCCTATAAGGTGGCAGGTTCCCTAAGGTAGGGGACCAAGTCTTATTCATCTTTGAATCCTCAGCATCTGGATCGGTTTTCTTTGAATACCACCGACAGATCACCCACCACAGCATCATGTTTAGTGCCTGGGAAAAATGCAAGGTTCCATAGACATGTGCAAGTCCTAACTCCCACTGTCTGTGCAGGTGACTTTATTTGGAAACAGGGTCTTTGCAAATACAATCTTGTTAACAATCTTACAATGAGATCATCTTGGATTTAGGGTGGGCCCTAAATATTACAGGCTGAGTAAAGAGGGAGGTGTGAGACACTGAGACACAGGGAGAAGCCTATGGGAAGAGAGACTCAGAGGAGAACCTGTGTGGGCAGAGACAGACTGGAATGCAGCATCGACAGGCTCAGGAATCCACCGCACATTCACCAGAGGCCAGAAGAGGCATGAGCAGACTCCCTGAGAGCCTCCAGAGAAGCCAGCCCTGCTGACACTGATTTTGGACTTCTGGACTCCAGAACTATGGGAGAATAAACTTGTGTTGCTTTAAGCCCCCAGTCTGCAGTGATTGTTGATAGCAGTCACAGGAAATGAAGTCATACTGTTAGAAAGTGCCTGGGATAACTCTAGTCTGTCTGTCTACAAGCTCAACTGCTCAGGAGAACGCCCTGCCTATCACTGGGGCCAGGTCTGTGGGTGTGGCCTGGGTCTGGTACTCAGATAAGTAGGAGTCAAGGAAGAGTGTGGCCAGTGGCTGGTGGTGTTACAAAATGATCTGGGGACCCAGAGGAAGAATTGGAGAAGACATGGAGGCACCTATGTCCTGAGCCAAATGGACTTTTGGGCCAGCTCAAATCTATTTTTGCAGAAGCCCCTGTTTCTACCTCCACCTGGATCCTCACTCCCTCACCCTTCCTGCCCCGTACTCTCTTTCAATCAGTTTGCTTCCACGGCTCGCCTCTAGGAAGCAGTTTTCATTTAAAACGATCCTACAGAGATCAGCTTTATTTTCACATTTTTTCGTATAACAAGCTGAAATTACAGCCTTCTCTCAGGCCCCCGAAGTAAACTCGGCCATGCATGTTGTCGAGGCTCGGCTGGTGTTCTCTTCTGGAAATTAAATGTCTAGGAAGGGGCAGATGCTCTTCTCACCACCTGAGGTGAGCTTTCCAAATTGGAGAGATCTCAAATGCAGCTATGCAATCAATAACTTCATATTTACAAGATAAAAATCCTAGTCACCTATAAGCCTCCCACCCTGTGACGGATAATGCCTAAATTCATTTCACTCTTTGAATTTTGGTTAGTTAATTAGAGAGCAATCGATCTCCTTTTCCTGAGCATGCTATGTGCAATTGTCATAGGGTCTTTGTAAAGACAGCTTACCCTGGGGTGGCCCTAAGTAAAGCCCTGCCTTTGGTAGAGAAGGGTGGAGCAGGCGTAGAGTTCAGTACTGTGGTCAGTTAAGAATAAGACCCAAGCTGTGTACCATGGCTCACAGCTTAATCCAACCAACAGGAGGCTGAGGCAGGAGGATCACAAGTTCAAAGCCAGCCTCAGCAACATAGCGAGGCCCTAAGCAACTTAGCAAGACCCTTGTCTCTAAATAAAACAAAAAAGGGCTGGGGATGTGGCTCAGTGGTTAAGCGCCCCTGAGTTCAATCTCTAGTTAAAAACAACAACAACAACAAAAAACAACCAAAACCCCAGAGTTAGTTCTCAATTATTGGCTTATATTCTGAAGATATTAAGACACCGGGGGATGCCTCTCAACTCTGCCTCTTCCTTAGTTCAAATGATCAAAACTCCAAGCCAAAGTGGGTAAGTTCAGAAAGAATTTATTGGCCGATGCTGTGGATTGTGCCCCCCTCCCTCAACTATGTTCAAGCCCCCTCCACTCCTATGAAGATGACCCTATTAGAGATAGATTCTTAACAGCTGTACTGGAGTTAGGATGAGGTCCTACTGGGTGAGTGCTAATGCACTGACCAGTGTCCTTATAAGAAGAGGGGAATTTGGACACTGAGATGCAGAAGGAAGACCATGAGAAGATACACAGGGAGGGAGGATGGCCGTGTGGCCACAGTGGCAGAGGTTGGAGTTCACGGCTGCCAGTCAAGGAGAGCCAAAGATCGCCAGCAACCTCCAGAAGCTAGAAAGAGACCGGATGGATCCCCACCTAGAGTTACGTTGGGGAGTGTGACTCTGCTGACACATTGATTTTGGACTTCTAACATCTAGGCGTATGAGAGAATTAATTTATATTGTTTCAAGTCACCCAGTTTGTGGTAATTTGTTATGGCGGCTAAAACAGCTAGCACATAATTCCATGATGGAGCACGACGGGATCCAGCATTCAAATGGACGGTTTTCCTCCATTTTGGGGTCTCCTTGCTTCCTGGCTTTAGTCTCAGCCTCCCATCATCTCAAGTTCAAGTCCAGAGGGAAGATGAGACTCTGTCTAGCAGATCCCATAAAACTTCAGGATACTCCTTTCATAACCCCTTAGAGGACTCGCCTCTCACGCAAGAAATCGCTCAGGAGCGTAGTGATCTGGTCATCGTGGGCCTGGAGATGGGCATGAGCCTGCCCAGGCTCCATGGGCTGCCAGCGGGGGTGGGGTAGCCGCCCAAATAAAACCGAGGGGTGATTTTCCCAGAAGAAGGGGATGTTGGGGAAAATCACGGCCCCATGCAGCTGCTCTGGGCTCATTTTCCTCATTTTTAATTGGAATAAGAGAAGAACCCACCTCCTGGTGCCAGGATTGTGAAGTCAGATGAAGTCATGCTTGTCCTCGCTTAGCCCGCGCCTGCCAGGTGACTTTGGTCCTGGGAGCGTAAGCATTCCAACACGCACTCTGGTGAACATGGAATGAAAACCTCTTTATTTTGACATTAAACCTTCATCTGGATTGCAAGTTCTCATCGCAAGCGTGGTGGGAATGTT